CCCCCCCCCCATTTGATCGCGAGGCGAACTTTCCTATTCTCATCGACCGCTCGCGGCGACGTGAATCCGGCGTAAACTTTGTGGGAAATAAATCGCAATCGCAAGATAACTTCTTTATGCGCGCGCGCGACAACGGCACTGAGGTTAAAACGATGGAAGAAACGGCGGAGGGGCGAGGCATCGTGGCGCCCAGCGTCTTAATAATGGCACGTCGCGGAACCGCGCCGTCATGCCAGCAAAGCCGGGAGAAAGACGGGGAAGAGCGAAAAGAGAGAACGAAAAGTGGCATGAACTCGTGATTTATCTGCTCGCATATCCCTCTCTCTCTCTCTCTTTTTCTCGCGATCTCGGGCAAATAGCAACCGGGTATCTTTCTACCAGTGGTGAGCTCCTTTCCATGTCTGGGCAAATTCGCGCGAGTACGCGCGAGGGTTAGGTAGGACTTCCTTGTAACTTAAGTGACATTTTCGAGGAAAAGTAGATAAGAGTGCCGCAGGTACGTACGTGCTTTGATGCATGTTTCGCGGCTATTACAGCCCGGCCGTAATTTCCCGAAGTAAACCTGCTGAATAAACCCGATAGAGATATTTAGCTCGACTTTTCTTCGGGCAGCCGCGATAATCGCGTCAAGTTTATTCGATGTTAACCTGTTAACCCCTTAAGAAGTACTAGCGAGTTATCGCCTTTCTAGGCGAATACACCTGGCAAACGTGAAGAAAGGGAAAAGTAAAACGAAACGTCGTGATATTTGCCATTTTCGTTGTCGTTTAATTCCAATTTTACGTTTCACGTGTGCACTTTCTATTGTATGTTTAACACGTATAGTTAGCAAAGGAAGACTGCGACGCCATTTATAAATGCTTTTATATGAAAATCACAAGGGAACCAAATTAGTCACATCCATGACTCTCTTTTTTTTTTTTATAAATATTTCAGTCCCTTCGAATTTTACAAAACTTTACAAAATTCAGATAGCGACGTGTTCCAAATAGATTTCCTATTCTTTTTTTTTTTTTTTTTTTTTAGAATAGAACTTTGCAACATGAATTGCTTCAGTTAGACTTTACTAAAATAAATTCACCAAAATAAATAGAGGTGAATTGCAATCGGAATCGAGTTAATTTTTTTTATCGTCTCAATTATTATTTGGCTGGTGTCTATGTCTCCATTGGTCGGTGACAAAACGACAACTGAGACAGAGTACGAGTACAATGCGAGGGACCAATAGAGAGTGCGGTGATTGCGAGCGGAACGTGATTACGGG